GGCATGTTGATACAAACAAACGAGAACCAGTTTGGTTTAGTGGTTAAGACAGGAGGGTAGAAACCAGGAGACCGTAAATTCTAGACCCACCTTAGCCATGAAAGCCAGCTGGGTGACTTTGAACCAGTCATTTTCTCAATCCACACGTGCTCTCAGCCCATTTGGTTGATCTGAAAAAAGTAGATCCTGAATTTGTGGGAAACCACTTGGAGGGAAAAAAGCTAATGCAAGCAATTATCACTTAATAACTACCAGGTCTTTGTTTAATTAATTTAATTTGTTTGCATCCATCTCGCTGCTAGACTTTTAATTCTCACACACCCATTTGAAGCTAGAGTTAGAAGAATATAAGCAGTGATAGTTTAGGGCGTAGCCAAAATTGCTTTGAAGAAGAAATATGAGCAACCACATCTAGCCAGTATAAATAACAACTAGTTATTAAAATGCAAGAAAAGGCCTCTTTAAACACAGGATCATGGGAACGTTTCCACTGCCTGAGAAAATAAACTTGGGGCAATGCACTGCTAGCAGGAAATGCTCCTAACTTTGTGAGGAATGGACAAAAACCTCAGTCAGTAAGATTCCAAACATAATCACATGCCCTGTAATTAACTGCATTTAAGTGTGTCTGTATAATTTTACATTCCATACAGATAATGGTTCATGGTCCATGAGCCCAATGGTCAGTGAACTTTTTCATACCATTGGAGGCCAATTTTCATTGCTTCAGATAGATCCTGTGAAAAATATCAGGCTTCTGGAGATCCTTGTCAGCCATTCAAAGTTGTCTAGAACAGACTCCGCAAGAGGACTAGAACTCCACTTTATGAGATACGCTACATTAACAGAATCTTGCAAATCAGATTCTGTTCTTTCTCCTCTTCCTCTCGCAGTGTTTCTCAACCTTGACAATTTTAAGGCATGTGGACTTTAACTCCCAGAATTCCACAGCCAGCATTGCTGGCTGTGGAATTCTGGGAGTTGAGGTCCACATGCCTTAAAATTGTCAAGGTTGAGAAACACTGCGGGTTATGCAACAGTGAGCCAGGGAGGAGTCAACTTGAGTTGTTTTCTAATATTACTTCCTTCCAAAGATTCAAGGAAAGTTTCTCCCCTTTTCCTCTTTCTGATGGCTTTGGAATATTTCCCTCAAAGCCATTCCATGTATCTCTATATCACTATGTGAAGCAAGATTTGTAGCAATAATGAAAAATATTCCATAAATATTTTGTTCCCTGAAATGAAAAATACAAATAACACTTAATCTAAGAAGCGTGGGCCACTAGGACAATTTTCCCCAACTTGGTGTTTTTCAAATATTTGGATGTTAGTCCTTCCCTGTTTTTTGTAACCTCTGAGAATTTGAAAACTGATGTCTAAAGAGCCTTAAGCTGGGAAAGGTGGATCTACAAATTCAGTTGTGAAATTCCATTGAGATATTAGAGCAGGGGTAGGCAACCTTGGCTCTTTTATGACTCGTGGACTTCAACTCCCAGAATTCCTGAGCCAGCAAGGCTCAGCTTGGAAACCTCTCCCTTTCCCCTCAGCATGGCTGGCTCAGGAATTCTGGGAGTTGAAGTCCACGAGTCATAAAAGAGCCAAGGTTGCCTACCCCTGTATTAGAGCAAGAGAAAGAACAATAAACAGAAAGGAAATAGTTATCAATAAGTTACAGAAAAATGTATTATGTCCTTTTAGCAGCAAAAAAAGAGGAAAAGTTGGAATTTGCAAGATACTAAAAATAAAAACTTGTTCTACATAGTGGCTGAATTACATGGTGACATTATCCATATGGCTCTTTTTTATTTAAAGTAAGAGCATTACGATTGAAACTATTTATTTGTGTAATCAGTCATTTTAAAATCTCCAAGGTCTCCCAAAATCAAAATGAAGTTATGAAATCACCTGAAGAACAGCACCATAGTCTATTTGCCCAGGTTAAAAGTTTGTCCTAAGCTAGAGCCATTTATCAGCTTTGGTATATATAATGTAATATGTCCAGCTTTGTTTCTGTTAGACAGATAATTTTCTTTTTTATTTTAGATAAGATTGTGGGACAAGATGTTCATGCAGTTTTGACTCCATAGTTAAGTTATAATTATTTCAACCATGGAAGTAAGCAGGAAACAGGACACACAACTGGAACAATTGCACAACATAATAGTAAACATATGACTGGGAGCAGAAAGAGTTTTGGTAGAAAAATATTCAGATTTTGGGGAAGAAGAAGTTTTGATATGTTTCAGACTTACAGTCCAAATTGATTAGCATTTTTGCATAAAACAAATTTTTGGATTAAAATTATCAATTGCATAAATAACAAGTTCACATAAAAGAAAAGAAATCTGTAGATTTCCACAGTTAAACCAATGTTCAGTGTTCTGTGTTAAAGTCATACTAACCCAGGCCAACAGACTGAGTTATTGGGAATTACCACTCATGTGATATCCTTTGCCAGGACTGAATGTGGTAATTTGGTTTATCTCATTGCCAGAAAAAACACAGTGAGAGGGGCCAGTTCTAGACAGAGTAAATTTAGCGAGGATCTGGAAAAATATTCTATACGTTCAGTTATTCAGAGCTGGATTCTCCATCACTCAGTGCTATCTATCATACCAGTGTAGCAAGCCTCCCATCTTTTCTGCAAAAAGGTTTTTATCCCAAGAATGTCATGGTTTAAAATAAATATAAGTGATTGATTCTCTCCCTGGGACTTGTATAGGAAAAAAAAATAATGTCAGCTTCAGCAAACAAAAGAATCCTAAGGTAAGTCTTCTAGTGTAAAATGAATACCAATTTGTACTGGATAAATTCTATCAAGGAAATAAACATGCTTTAAACTAAAATCCAAAAGGTGAGATACAAAGGACCACACATTACTTCCTTGTCAGCATGAGACTCTTTCAGCTCCTCTTCATCAGCACCAACGCATCTTATTTTTCCATTTTCTCTTTTCATATTCTTTCCAATGCAGTTCTAATAAAGACGAAAAGGAAAATGGCCACCTCCCCTTACACAGAAGTGGAAGTACTGGCATTCAAGCACAATGGAGCCTTTATGCTCATTGGTGAAAACAATTGGGTTCAAAGGAGGAGTGGATCTGGGGAGAGAGCTTCTCAGAACTATTTATACTGGAGATTTCCCCACTGTACGTACGGCTCTGCAAAGAGACATCCACACCATTTGTGGTCAGATATTTACATTTTAAGAAAATTTTATTTATTAGAGTTTGCCAGAAAATGCTTCCATTCACAAAGGAGTTATTTGCAAAACACATCTTTCCCAGCACCAAGCTAATGAGGCTAAAAGCCAAATAAATTGATAAAGAGTGCAGATCAGGGTGGAGGTGGCTTTGCTCCTCCTCAAAACTGCTTTTTTAAAACTGTAAAGGTATATTCCCAACAGCATAATCTTACCTAGACCAGAACTTATTAGAGGAGTCCAAAAATAATTTACAATAGTGGAGAATCTGTCTAGCTCAAGATTAAAATGTTGGGATATTGGTTTTCCAGAGCTGCAAGAAGAAAACCAAGCTCACTGAACCCCAAGACCCCAGTTATAATTTGGCCAAGGAATTATGCTCAAGTGAGGAACGAAGTCTGAGGTTCAAAATCAATTCACAGATTTGCCCCTACGAAACTGAAGCGTGTCCACTTTGGCAGAGGTTTAGAGGAACACCCCATATTTTTTATGTCCTTGAAGGAAAGCATAAGGTCTTGCAAAGAAGCTCATCCATCTGTTTCTTTGCCTTTGTCTTGTCCAGATGTTTTTCTACTTCCTAGTCTAATCTACAGTTTTACTATTTCTGGTAGTCTTCCATGCAAATTTATTCAAGCCGAAGACGGCTTACCTTCCAAGCCCCAAATAAGATCAAAACCAGGGTCTGTCAACTCCAGGAACCTTCCCCTTCTCAGTTAAAACACAATGAAATTAGAAATGAATAGGAAGGAAGGGAATCTAATGAATGCCAAAAGGAATTGCTGTGGGCACATATTCGTTCCCACTGAGAACTGCAGTGCTTGAGGCTTGCTTCATTTTTTCCATGGAAATAAATTTGGACACTTTGAGAATGGGATATTTAAGGTAGGGATTTACAAGAATACTGGTGGAGGCAAATTTGGATGCTTAATTCCTAACAGTTCCATGTTAGGAAGAAATGAAATCTGATAGACTTACTTTCCTTGCTTAAAAAGAAAAGACTGCAAAAATATATCAACTGACTGGAAGAACTCTTGTGGGCATAGGATGTTTAAATGCAAAAGAAGGGCAAATGGAAGACATCTCCCAGGGGATCACCTACAATGGAGAATGTAAGTCCAATTTGCCTTCCCAATCGTCTGCTTAATGTTTCCATCAGAAATTGTTTCCGATAAAGATTGAAACAGAGCAAACTTTAGCTGATACGTATATTCCTACCTTAGATAAATTTACCTGAGCATGATTTTAAGTTTCCCTTGTTGCCTTCTTTCCTTCTCTTTGACATCTGTGTTCTAGATAATGTCCTTTTCATATCCCAAATAGAATAGATGCCTAGGTGTACACAAACATATATTTATTTACATTCGGGTCTTCGACTTACCATTCATTCAGCGACCAACTGAAGTTATGAAAACATCATATGGTGGCTTTGACCCTCCTTTGGAATTCCCTTCCCAGACTGGCACTTCTTCCACTCTTTGCTTTATGACCGCATCACTGGGCAGTGGGTTGGGCTAGAAGACCTCCAAGGTCCCTTCCAACCCTATGATTGTGATTGTGATTGTGCAATGGAAAGTCTGGTCACAATCACCAATGTAAATTAAGAAATACCATATACTTCACCTGATAGCTAAAGACCCAGTGGCTATATTTACACAACGTGCTCATTTGGTTAGTTATGTGTGAAAGAGTGAAAAAGTTGTGAAAACCCATTTCCCTGGCCCGCAATTCAGAATAGCATGTGAATGCAGAAAAAGGGTTAATTCCACAAACTATCTGGAGAGCAACAAGGGGAAGGGAACACACTCCGTGCCTTTAATTCTTATTATAAACAGTTCTATGACTGCCTTAAGAGGAAGCTGGAAATCATATCCTGATGGGCTACAGTGTGAAGCACAAGGAATTTAACACTTTTCCCTGGCGCTGGCAGAATGCATGATGTGAGAGACAGACGAGGGTCTGCCGAGAGATTGAAGTCTACGATATAAGGGGGTTCTTCTCCCTGCTTCACCAAAAGACGTGGGTTCACGCAACGAAAGAGCTGGATGATTGTTTTGGACTCGGAGGTGACCAGTACGCAGGTAAGATAGTGGGACATTGAATAGATTGAAAGGACAAGTTACACAGAAGTCCTTCTATGCAGAAGTCCTTTTAAAAAAACTGCCAATTCTCATCTATATATAGAACAAGGTTATTAATGCTGGTCATTTTGTATTCCTTTTGCCTTTTGGTTTGGAGAAGCTTTGTGTACAAGGAGCAGTGTGTCTATGCAGGAAATAATCTATTCTGTTTATAAATATTATGAGGGGGTGCATAGCTGTTTAATCTTTACGACAAAATGGAATTGAGTAACATGCAACAAGTTAGTAGGAAATAGGCCTTCCATATCCAAATAATGTGGACGAAGACTTGAAAATGTCCTTGGCTGTCCTTCCTTCCATGCTATTGCTCGTACGGTGTTGTCTCGTGGGGTTGGTGGCAGATTGGTGGGAATGTTGACTGCTTCTCCCCAGTCCTACACATCCTACAGGCTCAATTCTCTGTTCAGAAGTAGGAATTCAAATGGCAGTAAAATATTGAACCGATACCAACATTTCTACCTGAGCCAGGCAGAGTCTGCCTATCCGCATCAGACAGATTAAGGGGTACAGGCTGAGAAACCATCCTTCAGGAAAGATCAAAAGGGAGGGAGCCAGGAATCTGACCTTCTCAATGGCAGACCCATCACTGGGGAATTCTTCCTGCCCACCCATCCCAATTGCATATCGGTGAAGTTATGTTGCTCTTTCTGGAAGACCTTAAGATGTTTCTTTCGGGGGTTCAGGGCAGAGGATGCAAGTTAAATGGACGCACCCAATCCAAGGAGGACTGTCGTGTGGTTTAGATGCCAATATAATGGGTTTTATTTTTATGATTTGAATCTTTATTTTATGGTGGCTTATATGTTTTTATTTTACCTAGAGGTACTTAGAAGCCTAAGAAGAGGCAGGATATAAGTTATTGCAGTAGTTCTCAACTGGGGTCTGCAGATTCCTGGAGGGCCATGATGTCATCGTAGGGGGTCCATGAAGGCTTGAAGAAATGTTGTGATTTAAATCTTGAGTTAAGTCTTGGGGATCAAAATACAAAAGATATTTAAAGGGGGTCTGTGGTAAAGAAAAGGTTGAGAACCATTGAGTTATTGAACAGCAAAAAAATCTATATGATTGCTAGAGCTGGAAACAATTTGCTAGTAGAATAATGAAATAAAATAAATTTCCCATGGGCAGCAATTTAGAGTTTGGTCAGTTCATTTTATAAATATGGGAAAGAGAATATCTCACATGCATAATGGAAGGCAGATATATGTAATAAATTATTATTATCTGTTCATAACAATGTGAAGTCACAGCTGCCAATATTCATCAAATTCTTTCCAAGAATCTAAGATGTCATAATGTGTCAGCATATTATCTATGTAAAATCAATTGATAGATGGAAATTTTGTCAATGTGCAGATTTAAAGGTAGTCCTCAACTTATGATGACAATTGAGCCCAAAAGTTATGTTGCAAGCAAGAAATTTGTTAAGCAAATTTTGCCCCATTTTATGACTTTTCTTGCCACATTTGTTAAGTGAATCACTATAGTTGCTAAATTAGTAACATGGTTGTTAAATGAATCTGGTTTCCCCATTGACTTTGCTTTTCAGAAAGTGGCAAAAGGTGATCGCTTGATGCTGGAACAGTGCAACCGTCATAAATATGAGTCGGTTGCCAACCGTCTAAATTTTGATCACGTAACCATAGGGATGATACAACGGTCATAAGTATGAAAAATGGTCATAAGTCACTTTTTTAGTGTTGTAACTTTGAATGGTCACTAAGGGAACTTAGTTGTAAATAGAGGACTACTTGTATTATGATTCATCACAGAAGTCGCTAGATGTTCAGAATGGATTTGGCATTTTTATCCACCCATCGAGTCCTTTCCAAGCACCTGGGATAGGCAGGTGTGGATGTTTGATGGTGTTAAGGGTATTGTCACAGGATGTAAACTGTGTAGCCCTTGCTTGCAATTGACTGAGGGCAATTTTGTCAATGCCAATGGTGTTCTAGTGGTGGTCCAATTGATTTGGGATTGCACCCAAGGCACCTATTACTATTGGTACAATCATTTTATTTGCAGGTCTTTGAATTTTGTGATTTTTCTTCATTTTTTTCTTTTATATTCTGTTATCTCCAGGTATTATCCACTATTCAGACTTCTTTATCATTATCATTATTATGCATTTTTTTTAAAAAAGATTTTGTACTGAATGTTATTTAAGATGGTGTTGCATCATAATATACTGTAATTAGTTTTCCATTGTCTTTTTCACTGGGTTGAGAGAAAATGATTGGCCCAAAAATCATGTAGCTGGTTTCATGCCTAAGGCAGATTAGAACTCAAAGTCTCTTAGTTTCAAACCCGCTGCCTTTCACCACATTACTACATTGTCTTTTGTTTAAGATCTACCTTTACTTAAAGCCAACCTATGTGAAATCTGGGAAGGAGAAGGAAGAGTTCAGTTCCAAGAAAATAACACTCTGTATGTGCTTTGCAGGAGTAGTGTAACTTTTAGAAATGTTTTCTCATTATCAATGCACACTATGTGGGGGCTGACAAGCAAAATCTGATTAGTTTAATGCAATTTCAATTCAGTTCAAATTTCTGGGGTCCTTGTTTCTCTCTGAGCTTGATTGTTTTCTTGCAGATGTTTCATTACCAAATTAGGTAACATCATGCGTTCTTGTAGGGAGTGGGGTTTGCTCTCATTTTATATACATACATACATACATGTATACATACATACATACATACATACATACATACATACATATACCCCAAAGTTCAACCCAACAAATATTCTCTTCTATCAATTTATTATAGCCATAAAGCCAGATTAATCCCATTTTATTTACATTACTTAGAAATAAATACAACCATATTTAGTAATTCTTTCTCTCAAATAAGTATGTTTAGGATCGCAGCCTTTGTTGATCTATGGGTGAATCAAGGTGAGACTTGAGACTATAATGTTCTAGTTTCCAGCCTTGCTAAGCTTTTCTTTAAGTTCCATATTAAAGCTGCCTTTAATACATTACATCTTAATGCTGTGCTTTTTTTCCGGATTTTTTTGAAATCACAGATGTACCTTACAGTATATCAAAACGAATATCTATTAAACTTCGATTCTAAGATTTTTTTCATTCAAGTTGAGTTTAGGAATTTGGAAATCTGGAGGCAGCTGGTTCAGAAGCTCATGTCAAATGCAGAAGAAAAGATTGTCTAGAGCAGTGGTTCTCAACCTGTGGGTCGGGACCTCATTTGGGGTCGAACGACCATTTCACGGGGGTCGCCAAACAATGCAGTCTGCCATTTTGTTTTTCCCTTTTCCTTAGCTGTGCTACTCACTTTTATTCTATTGGCTTTTGAAAGCCAATAGAATAGACTCTCTTGAATAGAGTCTAATTCTATTGGCTTTCAAAAGCCAATAGGAATTGTCCAGGCTGTCTCTACCCTGCTGAGCCCGCCAAAAGTCCCATTCTGCAAACGGTGCTGCACCAGTTGAATAGTCCTCAACTTAACGACCGGTTGAGTAGTCCTTGACTTACGACCGGTTGGGGGTCGCGGCATTCAAAAGGTTGAGAACCACTGGGCTAGAGCAGCATTTCTTCAACTTTCTTCTTTCAGGACTCCTTCCCACTTTTAAAAACTATGGGAAACCCCAAAAAGAGCTTTTGATTGTATGGCTTACATTTATTGATGTTTATGATACTAAAAGTTAAAATTCACACATTCACTACCACTAGTGCTTCTCACATTTGCTTGATGGGATTTTAATATTCATCATTTTTCAAGATAGGCTGGCAAATAATTTGGATTTCTCAGACCTCTCAGAGGTCATGAGGACCCCAGAAATCCCAGGACCATATTTCAAGAAATGCTACTCTAGATTGCTCCTAAGACTAAATGGTGTAATATTAAATGCATCTTCCTCTTTAATGTATAAGATAATATTTTCATGCAAATGCAATAGTATAATTGAATTTGCATGAAAATGCAATTATTTTATTGGGACTAGAGAAAAGAGGTGTATTAGGGGGAATTCAATGCTTTTGCTCCTGTGCTGCAATCTTGAAAGGGGGGGGATCCTTCTCTGATATTAGATGGAAGAATATTGGTCAATGACACCAAATAGATCAATTTTCCTCTAAGCAAATACTGGTAGTCCTCGACATATCACCAAAATAGAGCCCAAAATTTCAGTTGCTAAACAAGACAACTGTTAAATGGGTTTTTGCCCCATTATATGACCTTTTGCCCTAGTTGTTAAGTGAATCACTGCAGTTGTTAAGTGAATTGGCTTCCCACTTTGACTTCATTTATTGGGAGCCAGCTAGAAAGGTTACAGATGATGATCGTATGACCTCAGGACAGTGCAACTGTTATGAAAACATGCCAAATGCCCAAATTTTGATCACGTGACCATGGGGATGCTGCAATGGTGGTAAGTCTGAAAAATGGTCGTAAGTCACTTTTTTCAGTGCCATTGTAACTTCAAACAGTCACTAAATGAATAGCTGTGAGTCAAAGACTACCCGTGTAGGTTTCAGGGAAAGTATTTTTCTCAAGGCATGTTAAAATTCTGTTTCAGGTCAGACATAAACTAAATAGTGATCAGCCCCTGATCTCAACTGATGCTTAAAAAAAGCTGAAGGTGACATACATTAAATGCAAATACATACTTTTGGCTCTTATGGTACAGTTCTATGTATGGCTAATTAAATGTGGCTTAATTCAGAAGGCAAGTGCATGGGATTACAGCTGTAGCTGGCTTGCATCTGATCTCTTGCAAGGCATATCTGGAAAAAAATGGAATGAATTGCTTGAAATGAAATTTTTTTGGCAAAGTAGCTGGCTGACAGAGATTGCAGACGGTGTAATGATTTCTGTCCTTTCTTTACCAACTTGTCTGAAAATAGCCAAAATTGGCTGGTTCCAGCTCTCCCACTGCTAACAATAAATACTCGCAGTTATTTTAATCTCTTCTTCTGCTCTTGAAAGCCAGCATGAGAACAGGGACAGGGAGAAGGGGTGGGGGTGAAAGAAGCAGTGATAAAATCCAGATGGAACTGCCCAAGAGGCCTGGGAGTGGACACTCTGTTTACACAGGAACTAGGAACCTCATCTGTCCAGGGTTTATCTCTTGCTCTCCTTCCTTCTCAAATCCCATTGCAATGTTAATCCAAATCTAAACTGATTATTTGCCAACCGTGAAGTTTGTAAGATGGAAACACCCTTCAGGGTTTCTGTCTTGGTTGCTTCTCACTTGTAGAAGAGACATGTCCAAGGCACTGAGCCATCTCACACGTGAGACTTATATCAGTTTTGTTTTCAGTTGGCTCCAATGCTGACATGCAAAGTGGACTTTTCTCCTGTCATGAGTTATGATAATGAAAAAGTCCAAGGGAAGGCCCAATGCAAGTTTTGTATCATTTGTGTAAACAGGTGGCTTTACTTATTTCATTGTGCATTCCTTGTTGCTAAGGCCTTATTGGGTTTGAAGCTGTTCGTCCTCTGCTTTGTAGGTCTTCCGAGAGGAGGTCTTGTTTCTGATCTACCCCGCTGGCAGCTTTTGGCTCTTTTCCCACAAGTATGGAGCCTCAGTCCTCAATGTTGGGGCTGCTGTTACTGAGCCTGGTCAGGCCAATTCTCTCAGGTCCTGAACCAATCACTGGACCAAGATGTACCTACACCTTCATCTTGCCTCAGCAGAAGTTCACAGGAGCAGTGTGCTGGAGCAGTGTACGTCCTCCCCCTGAACCTCCAGGTCCCAACCGTAGTGAGGTGGAGGAGCTCCATGTCCAGCTGAGCCGGCAGCAGGCCCAAATGGATGAACTACGGCGACTGGTGGAGGTGGATGGGGCCATGGTGAGCGAGGTCAAGGCATTACGCAAGGAAAGCCGCAATGTCAATGCCCGGGTGACCCAGCTCTATACTCAGCTGCTTCATGAGATCCTTCAGCGACGAGAACGACCAGTGCAGACCTCTCAGCTGGAATGGCGTGTAGCCAATGCTTCTGCTGAGGCCGCACAGGTGGCGGCCAGTTATCGCCAACTGGAGAGGAAGTACAATGCTTTGGCTGCCCTTGTCAACAATCAGAGTGCCCTGATCAGCCGCCTAGAGAGAGAGTGCCAGCAAGGAAGAGCGGGCAAGGAGGTGCCCCCACAGGTACTGGCCAGAGGGAACTGGGACTCAGGAACCAGAGAGAGGACAAGAGGGTGGTCAGGGTAGAAAGAAGCCTGGTTTCAGGATTATGAGGATAAATGGAAGCTGATTTTTTTTTAATTTGAAACTGGAATTTTCTAAAATCATACTTTCTCCATGAGAAATAAGCAAATCCATAAAATCGCATCATTTCAGTCCTGATGTCAGCGAAATCCATTAAGGGTTAACAACATATCTATTTTAACCTTGATAAAAAAAAAATCAGCTTTATATTCCTTCCTTTTATTTTTAACAGTCTTGAACTTTAGTCCTAAGAACTTAATGTCCTAAGACTTGATTCCTTTTTATGTATGTATGTATGTATGTATGTATGTATGTATGTATGTGTGTGTATGTGTGTTTGTGTGTATGTATGTATGTATTTGTCTTTTTTCAGAGAACTTCATAGCTTTAATAATCCTCTTTTGTAAAACCAATATAGGAAAAGTATTTTGGTCACTCTCTTGGTTTGTTATTTGTTTATCCCTTTTAATTATTAAGACATCAGCTGGGTTCTTTTGCATGTCCAATATAAACATCTTTTTCCATGTCATTAATGTAGCATGTAATTTTAAAATGCACTTTCAAATCAGTCTCAATCAGTCAGATAATTTCTATAGCACCTTTTAAATATAGTTTATGTATAGAAGCAGACACTCTTAAAATTAACTCCTTTAATTGTGATCTTTAGTTCTTTCTAGCTCCCTCTAATGTACAATTTTTAGTCTTATTATGTTGTTTTTAAAAGAATTCAAATGAAAAGTATTTCCCCAGGAGAAAGATTTTTATAATTAATTTCAAAATCTTATTTCAAATTCATCTGGACCCTTAAGTCTGTTTGTAACTTTCCAGAATCAAAGTTCTAATTACCCTTTTGCTGCTTTTTCAAAACAAAAACAAAAAACCCAGCAGTTTAAGTCTTTAAATTTGTATTTAAAATTCTTTTGCTAAGAATTTAAGGAAACGTGCCTGGTGTTTTCAGACTTGGCTATCCAAAGATTTTTAATAGCTGAAAAACAATTAACATGCAATTCCCAAAAGTGGCTAGAAAAGGAAGTATGCAAACCCAGTGTCCTTTTAAAGATACCAACCTGCTTTGGACAAAGGTGCCATTCCCTTGTCTCTTAGAGCTCTAAACCTGCCAAAGGCCTCTGTCCTTTAGTCTCTTTGTGGAAAGCAATTGTCTGGAGCATTTTTGGGTGATCCCAAGTCTTCACCTTGTCTCTAGAGAAATTATCGAAGATTTGTCAAGCCTTCATTCTGTCACAATTGTCATTCTGCTTTTCACAGAACCATCTTCAGTTTGCCATTTCTTTTCTGAATCCCATTTTTTCTCATGGAATGAGAAATATATTCAAGGCCGGATCTTGGAGTCTCCCAGTTATTTAAAACAAAATTCTGCAGAGGGACCTTTTGGTTATCTTTATGTGTGCAAATGCATGTGTGTGTTTCCCTGCCTTAACAGCAACCTTGGAAAGATAAAGTTTTTCTCACCCTTTTATCTCATGTCTTCAAAAGGTACATATTTGTACATCAGGAACCCAGGAATCCTGATAACAAGAAAACCTAACCTAAATTAACCTACCCTAAACTCTGTCTTACTTTCAGTTCTTGGACAACTTTATGCCAGCTTCAACTGCAAATCTTGTGTAACAACCACCCTCTCTTTCTCAAACCTAGGAACTCAGTGAGGTTGGAACAAAATTCAAACCTGTGCTGAGCTGACTCCAGGATTTTCCAGGGCCATATTTATAATGGTTTGAATTAAAATATTCTTCTGGCTAGACATTTGGGCCCAACGTAAAAGCAAAGGTGCAGAAAGGTTTTCCCACTGCTAGTTGAATCTCCTTTGGCAAGAAAAACTTTTACCTGCTGAAATTTTATGTGGGCTGCACTGCTGCCATAAGTCCAAGCTCAGAGGAAATAAAATGGTAATTGTGACAGCCTGCATTCAGTCACAGTGGCCTGCTGGCTGTTCATATATCCATGCAGTTACCCAAACAAAGATATTAGAGATAAAGAGAAAGTGAAAAGTGAATGGACAGTTTAGTTTCCCATTTTCTCACAGGAGAAAAAGGGGCTGTTGAGCTGCCATTAGAGTTTTTTTAGAATACCAAAAAGAATTCTGGAAAGAACTAGAACAGTAGTTCTCAACCTTTCTAATGCTGCGACCCCATAATACAGTTCCCCATGTTGTGGTCACCCCCAACCACTTATACATCACCGGGTGCCAGGGGCGTGGCCAAAGGGGGGAAAATGGCGGACAGTCTTCTTTGGCGACCCCCGTGAAATGGTCGTTTGACCCCAAATGGGATCCCGACCCACAGGTTGAGAACCACTGAACTAGAAGGAGAACTTTGATGGAGGAAGTGTAATGGCTGGAAGAATCTAAAATAAGATGCATTTAGATCAGAATTTCTTAATCTTGACAAATTTAAGACTTGTAGAATTCAATTTCCAACATGTTGGGGAATTCCAGGAGCTGAAGTCCACACATCTTAAAACTGGGAAAGGTTTCCCAAGGTTGGAAACACTGGTCTAGACTATCTAGATTTGTTGTTTTAATAAAGTGTAATCAAGGCTAATCAACAAATTGGAGTGGACAGTGTTATATTACTGCAGACTTGTGTGTCTGAGAACAGTTCCAAAGAAGACTGATAAAGAGAGCTGTTGGATGTCATCTGGAAGTTTTTACTTGGCAATTTTAGTAGTGTCAAAATCAACAAGATAGCAGATGGAGCATCACAGTTAAAGCTGCTACCTTTTGCACATGTGCAAATTCAGAAGGGGCAGGGCTTGCATTATAATGCACTAGCCACCATTCTTGTTGATTTTGACTCCAACCACCCATGAATACCATTACACTCATTGAAGATCCAAAAAGAAGGGTGCCCAGGGGAGCTTTTTCTACTCAACAAATTTGAGGGATTGAAAAAGATGGAAGAAAAGATGTGTCAGAGCCAAGGCAGAAATCTTTTCCTGAATTGACAGAGAGAGGACACTGGGCAGCATTACTGGAAACAAACACTGAAATGCAGATAGCTAAATGTAAATTCTGCTTGCAGAGCTAAGCTGGGGAAGATTAAACTAACTGGTGCAATTATCCTTGATGTGTTTTCTTAATAAATTACCCACATCCAAAAATCCAAAGAAGTTGTTGCACTGTGTTATCCATCAACTCCTATGAACCCACAGGAAGCCCATGTGACAGTAATCATAGAGTGAAAGCCGATGTGATTTGCACCACCCACATCTGCAGCATTCCAAGTTAATCTGCTTTCAGACCACCAGGGTGGGATGAGCAAAAATACTTCCCCCACACTTCAGATTTAGCATCTTGCTTTCACTTTAATCATCTACTTCCTTAACTATTGTTTAGAAATAAATATACACATCTGTTCTATGGGGGCATAATTTTCTTCAAGTGTACTGCTCTAAGGCTGGGACCTTTTGGTTTCTTCACAAAATAGCTTTCGCCAATTTCATGCTTTCCAAATGTGTTCTGGAGAGCACCAGGCAAGGGAAGGATGGGCTTCTACAGATGTATCCCATTTTCCCCCACAAATTGAAAAGATTTGAGTTTGCTCTCTGTAACTGGTTGTATCATAGGCAGCCAACAGCAAGTCTGGCTTATCCATGACTCATCCATTTTCTGGGGAAACATTTTCCCCCCAAAACCAGCATAGGAAGAATTGTAGAGCTCAGATCAGATTGTTTAAATTGGATGTTGCTCCCTGAGGATATGATTATTGGATGAGATTGCTCCTCCTCTTCACACAGCCCCCTTTGGCACCAGTGGTACCTCATAACTCTGCAAGCACCTCTAATGAAAGCAGAGCCCACTTTGACACCATCAATGATATCCAGCGAGACCAGACAGCAACTGCCCAGTACTGGTCTGACAAGGCTCCCTCTTCACTGGATGACACTCCTCTGCTCTCTGCTGTTGGGCCCACCAAATCTACAGGTGAGGGAGCACACAACTGCCAAGAAACACAGCTAAAGTTGTGCTTAGCAGTCTGTTGCCATGATGAGAAGTGACCAGATCCTAGGTCACCCAAATGGGGAGGTAAAGTTATTTCCAAAGAGGAAGATGTAGTGCTCCTTTACCCATGGTGAGAGAAACCTGAGTTACTTTTCTATATGATATTGGTATGATGATTTATGTTTCATTTTCTGTAGGGAATTATTCAGCTATGCAATTACTCCACCTATAATTTGAAGTAAATCAGTCCTAGAACAGTTTAATGCTACTTCTTTGTGTAAAATACAGATTAACATGTACAGTTCTTGGGATGTTCATGCAGACAAAGCATAGACATCCCAAGAATTATTTATCTTGTAAACAGTTTGCCACTTTTCTCTGCACTGCTTTATCCCCTGGCCCAAAATATAAACTCCAAGTGCTTCAGGCTATTCCTAGTATACCTTTAGACTGCTAACTAAAGGGTGTTTCATTCCTCAGATTTATTAGTTTGGCTTTGAAAGTTGAAGTAGAATTTTAAACCGCTATGAATAGCTCATTATAGTTTACAAATATTCATATTCTTAATGCAGAGTGTTGGTCTTATAGCTTCTCCCCACCCACTACTATTCATCCTTACTTATTCATGGGGCCTCCTGCTTCTTCCATAAAGCATCTGTTGACCAGAACCAAATAAAAAATAAAAAAGATTGCAGTCTGTACTGAAACTACCTCCCATCCCTTTCATCTTGGAGAGCCAAGCCCTTGATCTGATGATCTAGCTTGGCTGAGCATCAAACAGTGTTTGCTAAGAGAAACCAGTGATTTGTTCGTAGGCTTTCAAAACTGACAAGGACCTAAATGCCAGAACATGGCTTCCTAGTGTATAGGAGGCCCTTGGTGCAGGAGAGACATTCCCTCTGTCTGAGTCTTTCTATGGAAAATATGGTTTATGATTAAAGGCATGCTTACCACAAGGCAAAATATCAACAGTGGTTCCTTAGACCAAAATGTGGTGTTTTTCTAAAGGCCACAACAGCACCAGTCACTTTGGAATAAGCTTTATTTTGTTTCCTGTGCAGGGCCTTGGTCTGACTGTCAAGCAGCTCAACAGGATGGCCAACCCAGTGGCATCATCATGCTACAACCCGCTCATGCTCAGGGTATCATCCAGGTTTGGTGTGACCAGGAATACGATGGAGGTGGTTGGACGGTCATCCAGCGGCGGCAGGATGGATCAGTCAATTTCTTTACCACTTGGCAGGATTACAAGGTTGGAGGATGTGGCTTGTGGTGCCCCCACAAAGAGAGGAGCTCTGAGGAGGAAGGATACCCAAATTGTGGGTACAGTTAGGTGGACAGAATTGCAGGATGCATGCTTACCTAGAGAGCTGAAGTCACCCAGCAGGGCTGAGGATGAAGAGCCATACATGATGAAGCTAGGAGCCAGGTTCATAAACTGAACTTCAGGGGGTGGTTATAAGTAGCATTCACAAACCCCAAAGCAAAAAAACTCAGGCATACATACTTTGGGACCTGGTTACCATTATAGAAAAATGGTTATAAATTTTTATTTATACCCATTGACAAGGAATTGGGTTATCTAACCTAAGGTTGTTTGTACTTTAGTTCTTGAAAAAGCTATAATGGATGGATTCTTCCACAACGTTAAGTTATAAATCAGGGTACACAAAATACATTAAGCCAAAAAATACACATTTTGCTTTAGTAGTATACCAGGGATACAGGACTGTTCTCTTAAGCGTCCTAATGGTTCCAGAGATACCAGATGATCTCTTTGCAAAGGTAGGAGATAGGGTTGAGTCTGGATGGCAGATTATTTTGGGTATTCACCTGTTCTGTGAATGAAATTTGTAATTTCCCACCACTGAAGTACTCTAGAGAGAGTCATCCACCTCAATGACACCTGGTAATTATTTGCCTGCTGTGTTTTTCTTAGAATGGTTTTGGGAACCTGGAAGGGGAGCACTGGCTGGGCCTGGAATTCATTTACTTGCTGACCCACCAGGGTTCATTCATGTTGCATGTATTAATGGAAGACTGGAGTGGGCGACAGGCATATGCTGAATACAATACCTTCGCTCTGGAGCCCAAGAGTGACTTCTATCGGCTACGGCTGGGCAAATATCAAGGCAATGCTGGAGACTCTCTCTCCTGGCACAATGGTCGACAGTTCAGCACTCTTGACCAAGACCATGATGCTTACTCAGGTAAGAGGGCATAACTGCTGGCAGAAACTGCTGGAAGGACACATCAAAAACTGAGCAGGAAAGGCTATTGATAAAAATAGTTTAGTGTAATGTTTAAAGACGTGGACTAGAAGCCGGAAGACTGTAAATTACAATCTTCCATTAGCCATATAATCTAGCTCGGTGACTTTAGGCCAGTTACTCTTTCTTAGTCCAACTCACCTCACAAGGTTATTGTTGTGGGGAAAATAGGAGAAGGGAGCCTTATGGATGCCTCTATGAATTGTACAGAGAAGGGTTTATACTCATTGTATTTTGATCACCTTCTTTCTCCTCAGAGCTCAGATTGATGAGTGGGAACCTTCTGTTTCCTCATGAAAACTGTGAGGAAGGCTTCAGCTCAACATCAGCCAGTTGGGCTGAGGCAGCAATTCAGAATCTGCTTCCACATGGCGGTAAAATAGGAGAAAGCTGTTTTGATGGGACTTGGAGGCAGAACTATATCATTTAGAACAAGGGTCTTCAAACTTGGCCTTTTTATGACTTGTGGACCAACTCCCAGAATTCCTCAGCCAGGCACACTGGCTAAGGAATTCTGGGAGTTGAAGTCCACAAGTCATAAAAGGGCCAAGTTTGAAGACCCCTGATCTAGAATCATTAATATAAATTTGTGGCCAAAATATGGGACTCACTTCACATTAATCCCTAAGCTAAATCAACATATGCAGACCGTAAGGATAGAGTATTGGGAAAGGTAATTATTCTGTCTCTGAAAAGAATGGTTAAAGGGCTAGCTTATTTTTCCAAAACAACACACTATGTGTATATGTATGTGTTTTCCATATCTTTAATTCAAAAAAGCCCAGATTGTTAAATGTACAAAGAGATTAAACTGGTCCCAAGACCATGATTACATTTATAATCAAATTTCAGCCAGTTTAAAAGATTTTGACCTATAAAGGCCATATGTTGTCTTATGTACATCAAGGAGACTTGGAGGTTTCTATTCTCCTGCAAAATGCATTATCTGCTTAGATATGCTGCCTCAGCAGAAACTTTCATTTTAGGAGACAAAACTAATTTTTTTTTTATTTCCAGAAAATCAAAGATTTCCAGGTAGAAGACTCAAAAGGCTTTGTGCAGCTAATCTGTCTTTTCCTCTTGAAGATTTTTTTTGATGTAATTTATATCAATCATAATAGGAGAAAAAATAAGAGCGAAAGAAATAGCAAGTCAGCACAAATTGGGTTTTCCACTTGCCTAAACAGAATTTTCTATTTGGGGCAGAATGGCTGCAAAAGAAAAATCTTGTCTGTTTTATGATTTTAGCAGCTGACTTGTACTCTGGCCCAAGGTATATCATATTAGCTTCAGTGATGTCCATTGGTTTTACTTCTGTCTTTAAAACACAGTGTTGGCTCTTATTTCCCATTTTGTTGAGCAGTGGGAAGAGTAAGAATTGTGCTACGTTAAAGAACACTGAGAATCTAGAACAGGGGTGTCAAACTGGCAGCCAGTAGCCCGGATGCGTCATGCTGAAACTGTGCTCACCGTGCCCAGCTGCAGCAATGGGGGGGAAATCACGATATGTCACGACACGTCATGTGACGTGGCGGGTTTGACACAACTGATCTAGAATGTGCAATTCACAAGATATTAAAGGAGAGCTTAGATGGGAAGCAAATTAATAATTCTACAGCAGCAGTAAACTTGCTTAATTCTGCCTCAGATTTCTAGAAGGGAGATTGGACATTTAAAGGATTTCAATTTCAATTGATTATCTTTCTCTCTCTCATTTGTCTTCCACCATTGCAAAGTTTGTTCCAACTATTTCTTTTTTTTTCTTCCAATAATTGGAAGTTATGTTCATTCCAAATGCTGCTTGATACACAAAGCAAAACTGGAGAGAAACACACTGCACCAATAAAACATCATCTGATTTATCTACAGGTAGTCCTCATTTAGTGAATCCAATTAGGACTGGGAAGTGGGTCATTAAGCAAAGCATTTGCTAAGATAAAAATAATCACTGTGTTGTACAGTTTTGTATAGGATAACCTATACCAGTGGTGGCGAACCTATGGCAGGGGTGCCAGAGGCGGCACTCAGAGCCCTCTCTGTGGGCACGCTCACCATCACCCCAGTCCTAGGCCTTCAGCTGGGTTTTATAAAATATTTTCGCTTTAGCCCTCCATTGCCATGTGCAAAAAAAAGAGGTTCAATCAATCAGTCAATTTCAACTTCTTGCGGAGAAAAAAATGATCTTGCAAAGTTGGAATTGATTGATTGAACTTTTTAGCCCCACCCAATCTGACGTTACCACTGCAGCCACGCCCACCCAATAGGCTACACCCACCCAGCACCCGATGATGCATAAGTGGGTTTTGGGTTGCAGTTTGGGCACTCTCTAAAAGGTTCGCCATCACTAACCTATACTGACTGCATTGGTGAACATTTGAGGGGGGGGGAGGGAGGGGATGACTTTTGCATTAGTGCCATAGGTGCAGACCATTGCTGTCCAAGAAACTTACTAAGCCAATGCTACCCAAATTTATCTAATCAACTGATATTTTTTCAATGCAGTATAATATTTATCTCAAGTTTTGGCATATGGTATTGTATAAAGTGAATGTATATGAATATATTCACAAACATGCAGCACCACATTAATTAAGCTCCAAATTAAAAGAGAAAGCAGATCATAACTTTCCTACAATATTTGTTAAAAATTCATAAATATCCTTTTTCCAAGGTTGCCTGGAATGAATGTAAGGGAATTTCTTATGCACTCATATTAAAGATAAGGGTGGACAGCAGCCTTTAAAGGTCTTAAGAAATTGTGGGCATCCTTTTTCCTGCCAAGGAAGCACCATATTTTTTCAATATTGTTTTAGAGATTGCATTGAATGCTAACACTACATTGGGCTGAAGCCAATGGAAGGCAGGCCCAAGAGTCAGTGATTTCCTTCCTTCCTTCCTCCCTCCCTCCCTCCCTCCCTCCCTCCCTCCCTTCATACCATTTGCTGGATTTGCTTGATGTCTAAATGTGTTATCTGCAAAAGTCATTTCAATTAGGCCAAGGAACATCAGCTAAGCTCCATGTGACCCAGTGGCTGCCCAGTTTTGCCCTAGGTTACCAAAAGTTAATGGCATCTGAATGCATGGTTTCACGTTCTGATCTCTTCCCCCTCTCCCCCTATTCTTTCTCCCTAGGGAACTGTGCCCACTATCAGAAAGGTGGTTGGTGGTACAATATGTGTGCCCATTCCAATCTCAATGGCATCTGGTACAAGGGCGGTCACTACCGAAGCCGCTATCAGGATGGAGTCTACTGGGCAGAGTTTCATGGTGGTGCCTATTCCCTCCGTAAGGTGGTAATGATGATCCGGTCTACGCAAGGCAACTAAGTTCCATTCTTATCCACAGAAAAGACGTCAAAGCAGACCAAAATCCAGATGGATGTACTTTACAAAAGAATTCACTGAACTCTGGATACACACCATGCTTTTTTTATTATCTGATCTCAGGAGAAACATCTTTAACTGTCTGTGCAATGCACTGATTGGCTGAGAGCCTTGTACTTCACAGATCCCCCCACACCCACCCACCTGCTTCTCAGGCCGTACTTTCATAAAAAAAAGTATTACTTTTATCTTTCATCAAAAGAAGAAAGTGCCAAAGATATCTCAAATAGTACTTTAAACCATTTTAAAAGTCCTTGAAATATGGCAAAAAAGAAAGAAAAAGTATATTGAGGCACCATGTGGCAGAAAGCAATATTGTACAGTAGTAAAAAGAATTACATTTTAAAAATATTTTTGGCTTTTTCCTGATATAGTTCTCGTCACCCACTTTTGAATTGACAGAAAATACTAGCATCCAATTTGCTCTCTCTGTTGCCAGCCCTGGTCCCTGCAATTGACCCAGTCCTCCAAAGACACAAATTAGATTTTATGCATCCTGAGGCTGACCTTGGAAAATGTTAGGGTAAAGGAAAAATATTTTCATCACCAGAACAACAAAAGACATCTTAAATCTGTTTTATACACAATGTAGAATTAAGAAGGTAGGGAAAAAAAAATGTTGCCAGGGTGAGTTTATCCACTGTTTAAGTGCATGTGGGGACATAGCTTTGAAAAGGCACCTTCATCCTTAACCCAGCTCTGTGCAAAGAGAAATTCACTCCTCCAGTGGAGTTCTCCAGTCTGGCTTCAACTGGGAGTCTTGCAATGGTAATGCTGTCATTTCCAACCTGCCTGCATGCTTTTTGGACATTAAAGGCTAGTCTTCCTGCCCAGTTTTTACACATGGAAACTGGAAGTAAAACTGGCCTTCACACAGCAATGAGGTGGAGGTTGCTTGGATCACTCTCTTACTTCCTGGTAAATATATTGTCATCCTGGGGTTTATTTTTGAAGGGGTGCTTTTATTAACTTTGCTGGGTCTTTTAACACGATGTGGCTCATATTCTATATCCCTGCTCAGAAAATAAATTCCTGAACATAAAAAAATGCAAACACAAATCCTGCAAATGAAGACAGATGATTTTGTTATGGATAATAAATAAGAGGTGAATGCATAAAGCTATAACATACATACAATTGTGTCCTGATTAAGGTGTTTTATACTAGATCTTGGACATCTAGCATACAGTGTCTATTCTGAGGGAGGCTCCCTTGAATCTCTTGCAGAGGTCCCTGGTGCTGCCATGTGGAAATACCTGAAACAGAATTTAGGACATTTGCCTCTTCGAACCCATCCTTAACGTTTCTTAAAGAACAGTTGTTGCACTTAGTAATTCCAAGAGAATAGTTGTGGTCCAGATCTTGTGAGTTTCTCAACATCCCCTCTCAGGTGGTATAGCAGGCAACTTCTGAATGATTTTAGACTAATAGTAGGACCTTTGTTGGTGAAATCAGACATAGCAAAAATATTTTAATTTGCATTTTAATATACCAGGGCAACAAAAGATGCACTGCAGTTTGTATGTGCATTCATCACTGATTTTAAAAAAATATCTGCACAGTAGGAGACATATTAACGCTTTCCATTTTAAAAATCTCAATTTTAAGGCATTGTATATATTAGCTTCCCCCCACTCTGATGCCCTTTAAAAAGGATAACTCTCTAATATATACAGAGAAAGACTGTTTATATATGGTATAACTAATACTTCAGTAGCATTACTATTATTATACAAGTACTTTGGAGGGTATTTGCTTGCCCTTTTTAATTAAGAAAAAAATTTGGTCTTTCAGTTTCATATTTCAATAATTAAAACATATCACAATGAGAATAATTCTCTTCATTAATTAGTTTATTACTTGGGATCCTCCAATTCCATCATCTTTATTGTTTTGGTCCCATGAACCTAAAGTGCAGGTCGATGAGCTTTGTGATGACGACAAAGCTTCCCTAGTCCCCATCATATCTTTTTTATAGTATCAAATTGGGCCTGAAGCAAATCACTTTTTATAATTAGAATAGATATGCATGGAGTTCAGGAGAATATAAAGCAAGACTCCATACAGATGCCATTTCCCCTAATTTGCAACCTTCTGCCCATCTCCCTAAGGTGGTTGGTTTCTCAATCCCACGGATGGCTAATTGCTGCCCTCGCTATCGTTCTCTTCATCCTGTTCTTTCAGATCCTCTAAGATGAGGTCACTGATGTTCGAACATGCCAGGCTGCCTTGGCTTATGCAAGTGGCTACTGTGGAACCCGTGCTATCATGCTCTTCGCTGGGACAGAGGACTTTTGGCAAGCGATTCCTGACCCGGCTTCGTGGATGAACACAATGGGTTCCGGGAATATGAGGCTCTGCAAGAGAAGACAAAATCAGATAACAATGGCTGCTTGCTGACTCTCTGATGAAAGTGGAGATCTATTTGTTGAAACCTGACCCTAGCTTACCTTGCTTCCTGACCCCCTCCACTTTCACCTTTTCTAGATAACAGCAAGATCTTTTCCAAGCCCCAGGCTGACACAAATAGATGGCACGGAATCCATAACCGGAACAATCCTGTGAGCCCAACACAATTGCCTACCTGCTGTCATATTTTTGTATTTATCCCCAGAAAGTATTCCTACAGCCCTGCAGAAGGTGCTGTTTGTATTTTTGTTATAAGGTATCAAAACCAGCTAAATAAAGAAAAATGAAAATCTCATTTTTACTGCCTTTTTGCTGACAATGACCAACATCAATTTGCTGTAGCATCCCGGAAGATGACACGCATACTGCCCATTGAGCATGGCTGGGATCCTGAAGATTCAGGCACAGCCAATCTCACCTGATCGGTTGTAGCAATCCTCTGCAAAGCAAGAATGCTGCTGTCTGCCTCGGGGTCCTGGGTACTTTTGAGGTGGGAGGATAAAGCTTGGAAGTACGGGTGTGTGGCACTGGAAGCAAGGAGATGGTGTGCCCATCTGAGCTGATCCCCTGCGTGGGGGAGAAAGAAGTAGTAGGTCCTTTACTTATTTGATTTATATAGCCACCCATCTCACATATATGACTTTGGGCTGCTTGCAACAAAACTTTATGGCGTGTAAAAAAGATGTTGAGACTCTAGAAAGAGTACAGAGTAGAGCAACAAGATAATTAGGGGACTGGAGGCTAAATATATAACGAACAGTTTGTGGAATTGGATATGTCTAGTTTAATGAAAAGAAGGACTAGGGATATCATGATAGCAGTGTTCCAATATCTCAGGGGTTGCTACAAAGAGGAGGAAATCAAGCTATTCTCCAAAACACTTGAAAGCAGGACAAGAAGCAATGGATGGAAACTAATCAAAGGCAGAAGCAACCTAGAACTAAGGAGAAATTTCCTGACAGTTAAAACAATTAATCAGTGGAACAATTTGCCTCCAGAAGTTGTGAATGCTCCAACACTGGAAATTTTTAAGAAGAGATTGGACAATCATTCGCCTGAAATGGTATAGGGTTTTCTGCCTGAGCAGGGTTGGACTAGAAGACCTCCAAGGTCCCTTCCAACTCTGATTCTATTCTATTCTATTCTATTCTATTCTATTCTATTCTATTCTATTCTATTCTATTCTATTCCATTCTATTCATAATGCAAACAGATGCTTCTTAGGTATGGGTGTGTTCTATGAACAGACTGAAGATTCTAAAAAGCACCATCCCAAGTTCTAGCTAGCTCAGTTAGAAACACACAGAGCATCCTATTTCTGAGAGGCAAACTGTTATTTTATTCTTCCCAAAGAAAGAAGGCCGCTTTCCCCAAAATTCAGATAGCTCTTCTGTTCTAAATACCAAGGAAAGATTTGAAGGCCTTCACATCTTGTCATTCAGGATTTGTTAACACATCATTCTGAGGCCTAGATTATCAATTGGCCTAACAAAAGATGATCAATGATCATGCTGCATATTTTTGGTTTGCTACATTTAAGACTTGGGTTAGTAACTATACCAGGCCATGCAGGGTTTGCCTCTCACCTGAAAGTATGGCCACATGAGGGGCATTTAAACTCTGCTGTGCCCCACATTTTATCGTATGGCACTGGATCATAGCGGATTCGACATCGGCGGCAACGGGACACCTGTGAAAGATACCAAACAAAGAGCTGAACAAGCTTCCAGCTACCAAAATAATCTCAGTAATGGTCACAAGAGCAGAAATTCTGTCAGAGTTATATATCAGTGTATTGCTGCTATGACCATTGTGTTAAGGTTGATTAAATCCAGCAATTTCTTTCCTGCAGTCCTACCATACTGCAATCTGTTTCATTTGCAAGCTGCAACCAAGGTCCTGTAATTCTAACCCACTTCTCTTCTTTTCTGTTTTAACCTTACCAAATGGGAATCACAGACATTTTCAAGAACTCACAAGCACCAATTGGATTAGTATAAAATATGACCTAAGAAACAGGGGTGAAAGTTGGCAATCAGTCTATTTAATGGGGGGGAAATGCAAGAAAAGTGTATTGGGATCTATATTTCATCCAGTGCAGTAGTGCAGGAAGTAATGGGAAAAAGCTTGTTTCCTGAGCTATAAATTTTGGGTTAGGAATCAATACTACACGACTAATGGGAGCTATCCAGAAGCAAATGCAGCATATTTATTCAGACAGTGACCAGTAATAATATAGATCACAGACAATACATCAGAACAAAATGAATAAGGTAAAATACCAATATGGCAGAAAGTCTCTGTGCTAATACGCAACTAAACTACCATAGTGAAGCAGAACAATAAACTGTCAAATGTGAATCTAAAATAATAGTTTGTAAAGTAAATACACATTACTTCAAATGAAGTATGTCAAGTGATTACAAGTAGTTACAACAGCAACTGGGACTGGGACTTGTGTAGCTGAGCCACCCAGTTGTGAAGCATGTGGCCACATCACTTAGAGTAGGCAATTCTGCAGGCAAGGTTGTCATCATTAAATGAGGACTGTAAGCTTACAAGTCACTGTAAATCTCCCTCATTTAGCATTGTCATAACTCTGAGGAGTTGCTGACCAAATGGTCATAACCCATATAAATCTGTATAAATCTGCATATTATGATCTTTTTTAAGAAATAGGGTTTTTAAGTCATTATTTTCATAATTTTAATTATACCAATGCAAAATTTGGCTACTGTGTAGATAATGATGGGTTTCATGTCTCCTAAAAGAAGGAAGGAAAGGATCAAATTAGATGCAACAATAGCAGACACAACTCAGATACTGACTCCCTACAGCAAAATGCAGCTGTGGAGTGGACCTTAGGATGGGTGCATCTCAACTAGTCCTTGGTATAACTATGAGATAAAGAATGAAATACTGGGAAAGCTCATACACACATCCCCAAGTTACTTATGCTACAGTTTTCCATTCCAAAGAAATTGTAGCAAAGCTGGATAATTCATGGTCCTCATTCAACCCCCAGCCCCATTTTATTAGTTCCTGGAAGCTCTCTGAGGACACACTGCTGATCTTTGGCAGGAAATATTTGCTTTTCAGTACCAATGAGGAAAGTCTCATTGTAAATATTTCTTTAAAATAAGGGCTAAAAGAGTCCAATAACTTTAATGTACCTATTTTGCTTTTGAAAAACTCTAAAACCCAAACACAAAACACAGCTTCAAAAAATTCCACCGGTTAGATAATCAAGTCAACAATCCAAGGAGCCGTGACACTGTAGGAGACTACAGTTTTTTAAAAATAAAATGTGTTTCCCAGTTGCAAAAAATTGCTCCAATTCCTTTTAAAATGAGAATGACAGGTGAACATACTAATCCAGTGGTGGTGAACCTATGGCATGCGTGCCACAGGCGGCACTCGGAGCCCTCTCTGTGGGCACACACACCATCGCCCCAGCCCCACCTCCTCCCATGGCCCCCTCCTCACCAGCAGTCCCCCCAGAGGAGAGTCGCCCCCCAGGCACAGCCCACATGAAGCACCGCAGCCAAGGACATGGTAGCTGGGCAGCGGGGAAAAGACTCTGCCCTTGTGCCCCATCGCGCACAGATGATACTGTGGGGCATGGGTGGAGGGCATGGCCTCCATGGCGCTGCTGGGCCACTTGGGTGATCTGTGGTGGGCAGTGGAGGTGGTGGGTGACCCAGCGGGCAGGGTGGAGCGGGGACAGGGGTGGGAGCGGGTTTTGGGCAGTCGATCTCTAAAAGGTTTGCCATCACTGCACTAATCTCTATGCTGATATGAATTTAGTAGAGGACCATTTTATCACATATTTACTTGGTCTTTTTCTTTTCAATTTAGGCAAGAGTAGGGAGAAAACAGCAAGGAAGACAGTGAGGCCATGAGAACAGTATAGTCAGAAGTCACCTTGGACCACCTTCCTTTGAGGGCTAAGCAATCATTATTTATCAGAAAGGATTATGCATTAAGGCCATCATACCAACCTGTTTTCTCTCTGGGACCTGACGCCACCACATGTGGTCACAAGGCTGGCAGGCAAATTGGCGAATAGCTGGAGGGATGCGATTGTTTTGGGCATTATTGAACATCCGTAAGTTCTCCTTTGTCAAGGGCATCAGCTGTCTAGCAACCTCCTAAGGAAAACACAAAAGAAAGACATGGAAGTAATCCCAAGTGCTGCAAAATACTAAACTTCCAAGTATTTTCTCCATAGGTTAAATTAATGTGTCTCATCAACAAGGGAAGGGAAGGGAAGGCTTTGTATATGGAAGTTCTGACTGATGCTGTGGAGAAACGTACTGTGGAATTGTAAGAAAAGAAGCTATTTAATAGAAGTTCCAACATTTCTAAATATGTTTTATTTTGCAATGTGTTGGAAATATTCCTTTACTTCACCGTTAAATATCTAAAAGTATTGTCATGAAGGGATAAAGAATTAGGTATTCCAACTCTTAGGTAGCTTTCCTATTTTAATTCTTGTAGTGCTCTGATATTTGGCCAGGCACTGGAGTTATTCTCCAGAGAGTAATGATCATACTCATACAGGAGCCTACTAGAGCTATTTCCGAGATCTATTGCCCAGGAAAGCACTAATGGGAACTAAATTATCTCAGGTTGGATTGGGGAACAATAGAGCTGATGTCAAAACTGTCATCCTGCTGCGCCAGCCATGCTTCGCCAGCTGCCAGTCTGCCATACACAGTGGGGGGAGGAAGCTGCAAGAAGGCATGGGAGGGAGCTAGCATAAGGGAAATCAAAACTATTTGTTGTGCCATCCCATGAGAGTTCCAAGATCAAACTACAGAATGCAGCACCATCCAGCCTGCCAAGCCAGGGACTGTTAACAAAAATAAGTTGTATTAATGTAATTGGCAATTAGAGATAACCAAGGGGGGAAAGGTGAGAAGAGGGGAAACGTTAACCAGATGCCTTGAGTGTGAAAACTCAGATCCGGCTTTGCTACACTATAACCACTTGGCTTTAGTAAAGTGTATTTTCATTAATAATGGATTTGAGAGTCTTTCTTTTCTAATTGACCAGATTGGGATGGCTAACATTAAGCTGAATCTACCTGGAGATTATGGGAATATGCCTGAGAAGGAGTCAGAAGAGTTGGAGGACACCGGGGCGAAGGGAGAACCTGAAATCCTGGGACCCCAGCAGGGAGGGAAGCTTGAGTTTGGTGTCTGACCAAAAGTGGCAGGAGAGAGACCAATGCCCCTGCCCGTGATACCAGAGGACTAGCAGGAGAGCTCACTGGGTGGAGCAATGCCCTATTGGTTGAGGGGAGTCAGAAGGATGGAGGAACCAGAAGATCCCCCTCTGGGGTTCAACGTCATGTGAGGCTCCCGGGGCCAAACTCTCTGGCCCCTGGATTGGGATGAAACTGTTGAAAGAGGACTCCAAGCTGTGGCGCTAGACCAAGCACTCAACTATCTGAGAGGGAGATTCCAGGAGTTTGGGATACATTACCCACCCATCCTGGTGGAATAAGCATCCACTACTACACCAGTCCCAGCTGCTACCCTGCCCTATCCACACCCCCAGCACCAGTCATCCTCCTGGGCTGGGGAGAACACCAACCATCCCCCTTGGGGTGAAGTATGATGGAAGACTGAAACAACTGGGCTACTTTTTGGCCAGGTCTGGCACTATATGATTCAGAATCAGAATAGACCTGGAAGAGACCTTGGATGTCTTCTAGTTCAGCCCCCTGCTCAAGGAGGAGAACCTATACCATTTCAGACAAGTGATTATCTAGTCTCTTTTTAAAAACCTCGAGTAATGAAACACAAACAACGTCTGAAGGCAAACTGTTCCACTGCTTAACTGTCCTCACTGTTAGGAAGTTTCTCCTTAATTCCAGTTTGCTTCTCTTCTTGATTAGGTTCCATCCATTGTTTATTGTCTTGCTTTCTGGTGCTTTGAAAAATAAGTTGACCCCCTCCTCTTTGTGGTAGCCTCTCAAATACTGGAATACTGCTATCATGTCCCCTCTAGTCCTTCTCTTCTCTAGACTAGCCAAACCCAAATCCTGCAACCATTTTTCATATGTTTTAGTCTCCAGGCCTTTAATCACCTTAGTTGTTCTTCTTTGCACTTTTTCAAAAGTCTCAACATCTTTTCTGTAATGTTGTGACCAAAATTGGATGCAGTATTCTAGTTGTGGTCTTACTAAGGCTTTATAAAGCAGTACTAATACTTAGTGGGATTTTGTTTCTATGCCTCTGTTTATACAACCTAGGATTGTATTAGCTTTTTTGGCTGCTGCCGCACACTGCTGGCTCATATTTAAGTGATTGTCCTCTAGGACTCCAAGGTCCCTCTCACAGTTACTGTTTTTGAGCCAGTTTTCATCTAACCTGTACCTTTGTTTTTTCCTGCCTAAGTATAAAACCTTGCTTTTCTCCAGATTAATTTTCATTTTGTTGGATAGGGCCCGTTATTCAAGTCTGTCAAGATTTTTTTGGATCCTAAGCTGGTCTTCTGTGGTATTGACTATTCTTGCCAGCTTAGTGTCACCTGCAAATTTGATGAGTTCCCCTTCTATTCCCTCATCAAAGTCATTTATGAAGATATTGAAAAGTACTAGGCCTAAGATGGAACCTTGTGGTACTCCACTGCTTACTTCCCTCCATGCAAATATAGTACCATTAAGAAATAGTTGTTGAGTACGGTTTGTCAGCCAATTACAAATCCATCTGGTGGTAATGGTGTCTATCCCACTTTTTTCTAGCTTACCAACAAGTAGTTTGTAGTCTACTTGGAATAATATGGACTTTTCCTCCCAGACGATGTGGCCAGGTGCATTGCATGATTCTGGCATTAGACCAAGACATAGCTGACTGGCTCGTGGCCCTACATGACAACAACGTGGATGAATTACACCACTTTGACCATTTCATATGTGCCCCAAGACAACATTTTGAAGACTCTCCAGTGGACCAGCAAGTTGCCACCCAAATCAAGATAATCATACAGGGGAAACAGCCCATCACTACCTACATCCAGGAGTTCCGAAGCCTGGCTGGCCGACTGGGGAATTGGCCTCAGGTAGATCCTGAGAGATTACTTCCGAGAGGGATTGGACTCGGAATTATACTACAACTGTCTGTCATAGGGAGCACTGAGAAACTTGTTCCATCATATTCTAGCATTTCTATTCTCACCTTAATCTTCTTATCATCCTTGCCCTTGATGTCCTGCGAAAAAAAATTATATTAAAAGCTACACATTGTTAAGCTTTATACATAACAGTGTTAAATTGTAACTTAAATAAACAATTGATAAAATTGCTCTTTTCCATTCCACTTTCCTTTTTTTTAATGTGTAAACCACAGAGAGCTGTGGTTACTCATTCTTTAATTTTCCAATAATGTCTGTGTATTCTATGGGGCTTCAGAGGCATGCCTGGAAATAATAATGCTGAGAGATTAATGATTTGCTTTTCAATATCTTAGGTTTCCATTTAATTTCTTTTTCAAATTAAAAAAAAAATCTTAGAAGCAGCTGGAAAATGTTAAGAAAAGTGCTTCTGAGCACAGGGCTTGCACTGCACACCTATGATTTAACAGCTACCCATCAACAATTGATACATTCTTCATGCCAAATGATTAAACTGCTAACCAGTCTGTTAACTGTTAAAAGGAACTGACAAAGAAAACATTTTAGCTTTGCCTAAAAAAATTAACCATGTGATTTTCTCTCCGTAAAACTTCAAACTGACAATGCAACTTCTGACCTAAATGAAGTAGAAAAAAATGTTACCAAAGTAATAACTGTAGCTGCCCTTTCCTCTGCTTCTTCCCTTAATCACCTGTTTATTCTGCTCCTCTTCTTCCTTCAGTTTATTCACTACTTTCTAAAAACAGAGGGAAAAGTTAAAGTCAAAAAGTAGATGACAGAAGTATAGACAGCTATGAAATTACAACCATACAACAACAAAGAACTGTTTCCAAATCACAAAAACATATTATTGGGGAAATTAGAATGGCAAGTAATTGAATGAGTAAACCAAACCTAGAATGTTACATCTGGAAGCCACATCTGATAGATGGGTAGAGTAGCTCACATATAATGACAGAATATGAAGCTGGTGAAGGTTTAACAGTAAAAGCTGACTAGATTGTAGGCATATGCTTTGAAGTCTAGAAGAACTTGATATTTAAAAAGTAAAGTAATGCTGTATAGCAGGGCTTCAAACTCAAGTTCTTGAGGGCCACATCAGCATTACAGTTGCCCTCGGGGTGTGTGTGGCCAGGGTGGGTGCAGCCTACTGAGTGGGCATGGATGGAGCGGGTGTGACCTACTGAGTGGGCGTGGCCAGCTCTACATTGTTTGGGTCAAGGGTGCCTGTGGGGGCCTGGGCAGGAGTGGGGCAGATCTGAGGGTCTCTGGCAGAAGGGGCACGGTCCACTGGAGGAGCCTCCTGTTCCTGTCAGGCCATGCAGATGGGGGGAAGGCTGGATGGTGGCGCGGACTGCCCGGAGCCCTGGGCAGCAGAGATCAAACACCCAGCCTGGCCCTCGAGCACCTGCGGCACCAAGCCCAGCCCCACTTCCCTAAGGGGGCACACAGCTGCACTTACCTCCTCCTCAAGGCTGCTGCTGCTGTGCCTGCTCTCCTTAGCCAGGTTGCTCATGATGGGTACAAGGGCAAAGTCAGAGGGAGGCCCATTTCCTCTCCATGGGAGGAGACCCGGCTTTGTAGCCAAAGCTTCCTTAGCAATAGGATGGGAGACCCCAGGATAGGCCAGGGGGAGGGGGCAAGGGGTTGGTGAAAGGGCAACAGGACAGGACTAAGGCAGGACTTCCCTCAAACCCTCCCTTCTTTTTTTCTTTCCTTCTTTCTTTCCTAAATACAGAGTGGTGGGAAAATATTTGAGATGAGGGAGAGAGAGAAACAGGCAAGAAACGCAGCTGGGGAGGTGTCACCCTTCATAAAGAATGAAGAAATGCACCATCGCCTGAAACTGGCCAGCACATGGCCCTCACCTACTTCACATATCTGGCTTGGTGGGCTCTGGGGGACGGGATGCCATGAGCAGCATGAGAGTCAATGTTACCTGTGCAATGCCGCCCAGCCCCCAGCCTGCCCGGTCTCGGCAGGCAGTCGGGCACTCTGCTCACAGGGCCGAGAGGCTGAACCAGGTGGTACAAATCTAAAAATAAACATGAGGCCACCCAGCCCCCAGCCTTCCCGGTTTCGGCAGGCAGCAGGGCGCTTTCCTCACAGCATCAAGAGGGTGAGCTAGGAGGTGCGAAGCTTGCCAGTTTTGCATCTTACTCCCTGCTGAAACTGGGCAGGCTGGGGGCTGGACAGCATTGCACTTCTCATCAGATTCGTGCCACTCAGCTCTTGGCACTGTGAAGAGAGCGCCCCACTGCCTGCCGAAACCAGGCAGGCTGGGGGCTGGGTGGCGTCGTGCTTCTTTTTGGATTTGCACCACCCGGCTCAGCCTCTCTGCGCTGTGAGTAGAGCACCCTGCTACCTGCTGAAACCGGGCAGGCTGGGGGCTGGGTGGCATCATTTTTCTTTTCGGATTTGCACTGTCTGGCTCAGCTTCTTGGCGGTGTGAGGAGAGCACCCCGCTGCCTGCCGAAACCCCTCCCCCGGAGCCCATCAAGCCAGATATGTGAAGTAGGTGAGGGCCATTTGCTGGCCACTTCCAAGTGATGGTGCATTTCTTCATTCCTCACAAAGGGTGACACCTCCCCAGCATGCACCCAGGGGGCGGGGCTGCCGCAGCAGGGGCTGGTTCCTCACTGTTTCCAGACGGCCTTGTGGAGCTAAGACTGAATGCATTTCAGCATAGATGGCCACCACAAAATTGTACATTGGCTCCCGGCTGGCCTGGGCCAGGGCCAAGACAGCGGGGGCCGTTTCCTCACTGTTTCCAGGATGGCTTCGTGGGCCACATGAAACCACTTCGTGGGCCGCCTCTGGCCCACAGGCCTTGTGTTTGATATGTCTGCTGTATAGAATTCAGTTATATTTCTATTTTTACATTACAGTTTTATATATGGAATTGTGCTACATCCAAAATTCAGATTTTATTTATATCTTGACAGAGTGTGTTGTCTTAATACATTAATTGTCAGATAGAGCTTCTCTCTTACTTTTTTGTTTTAATGAATTATGTTAATCGGATACCTGTAAAGTTCAATAAATGTTTTGATTCGAAAATGGTATAAAATACTTAAAAGTATTAAAAATTTTGAATGATGCATTAGCATATATTAATCATACCATATTTCACATTGGTTGGCTAGCCACTCATATTTTTCCTTTATCTTTGATTTTCTGTATGCATTACATATTTTTATATTCTTTTAAATGTATGTACTTGAATTTATAGCATCATTATCCCTTAACTATTTTATAAATATATAATTTTAAAAAAATAAAAAAATACTGTAAATTATTCCAAAGGGAAAAAAAGATTTTAGGGAAGAGTTCTGGATCGAGCACGGGCAACTTAGGTAAATGGCACACATGGGGTTACCCCCCCCCCTTACATTTTTGGTCATTAATGGCTCCAGTTTACCGCAACTTCAAATCTGGGGTAAAGATTTCCTTCGTATTGACTTCAGTGGAGAGGAGAAATAATTAAAACAAGAAATGGCTAGTCACATCAGCACATCTAAGGGCTGTACGACTCTTAAGGTTTCCAAAACAGTTGTACTTCCTCTTTACTGAGAAAATAGCAGGAAGAGGGGGAAAAAAGCATATGGAATACTATATATAGCATACAATTCTGTAGAATGACAGCTAGTTTCCCTTCTAAGGTTAAACTGGTTCTTTGTATTTCCTTTCCCAATTTAGTGTCCACCGTAACTCTTTCAATATGATCTTTCATTCAGAAGGAAACAGAGCATCTAAATTAAACAGATTACTATTATTACCATTGCTATCGGATCACTTCTGAGCTTCTCTCCATCTTCTGGATCTACACCTAAAGAACAAGAATACATAGTTAGAACAGATTAAATTTAAAATAAACAGACCCGCCAATGTGAAGATTTCTAATTCTGAAACTAGGAAATGCATACTTTATGGAAATCCATGCACAGACATGTAGCAGTTGACCGGGGATGAAGGTCAAGACAAAATTAGCAAATTGGCATAACTTGTATTGATGTTTATCTTTAATGCTCATGGATTATTCTTTCTCAGCATTATCCCTGCAAACGTTATTACTTCTGTGGTTTTCCATACATTAAAGTCCTTTAAAATCAGGCAACTGCATTTTTACTGCAACACGGACAGGCAACCTTTAGGCGAGACTAAGGACTGGAGAGAATGTGGTCCTTCCTCCTTCTCTGTCATCTCATATATCCAATACTTTTCATCTATTTCCCTCCTCAAAAAGTTGAAAAGTATTGTATATATGAGGTGATATATAGGTCTTTGGTTATTCGGGTTTTCTCCCGTGTAAAATTGGAAGTGTCTTGGCGACGTTTCGACGAAGTCCCATTCATCATCTTCAGGCTGGTGTTTTCAGCTTCGTGCTTTGAGCAGCAATGTGTGGTCTTAGCTGTTTCTTCCTTTTAACTGCCAGTGGGGGTATGAACTGATTGGGTGGGAGCTTGGCTGTGTTCTGATTGGGTGGAGGTGTGTTCTGATTGGTTAGGGCAGTGGTTCTCAACCTGTGGGTCGGGACCCCATTTGGGGTCGAACAACCATTTCACGGGGGTCGCCAAACAACGCAGTCCGCCATTTTTCCTCCCCCTTTTCCTTAGCTGTGCTACTCCCTTTCATTCTATTGGCTTTTGAAAGCCAATAGAATAGACTCTCTTGAATAGAGTCTAATTCTATTGGCTTTCAAAAGCCAATAGGAATTGTCCAGGCTGTCTCTGCCCTGCTGAGACTGCCAAAAGTCCCATTCTGCAAACGGTGCTGCACCAGTTGAGTAGTCCTCGGCTTACGACCAGTTGAGTAGTCCTCGACTTACGACCGGTTGGGGTCGCGGCATCAAAAAGGTTGAGAACCACTGGGTTAGGGGCTTGGCTGTGCTCTGATTGGCTGGGGGGTTGGCTGTGCTCTGATTGGCTGGGGGAGTGTTCTGTTTGGGTGGGAGCTTTGTTGTGCTCAGGTTAGTCTGAGTTGCAGGGGGATTTAAGATGGTGGGCTGCCTTGCTATTTTTTGGCTTCGCGTTCGTGGTCGTGCCTCATCTTCATAGTGGGTGTCAGTTTGCTTCATGTATGGATTGGAAGGGTTTAAAGTGGCTAATGATGCAGCTGTGGTCTGGCTTCTGGTTTGTGGTTGTGCCTCATCATTGGTGTGGCTTTGGGTTTGCTTTTTGCGTGGATGTGTGGTGGTGACATCCTGTGTGGTTTTTGTGAGTGTGGGTCTGGTGTCATTTTTTGTGTTAGGGAGTCGTTTGTCAATAAGAGCGCGTTTCCAAATGGCTGGTAGGTGGGAGGTATCATCTCATTTGTTCATGCTGTGTGGGCGTTTTTCTATCTCGATGGCTTCTCTGATTATTCTGTTATTAAAATGTTCAGTTTTGGCGATAGTTCTGGTATTTTTAAAGTCAATTTCATGTCCTGTGGCTTTAAGGTGTTGGACCAGGGAAGATGTTGGTTCCTCTTTTTTGACTGAGTTCTTATGTTCTTCAATGGGTGCACTTCTTCTTCTGTTGGTTTGTCCGATGTATGTGTTGGCACAAGCATGGGATTTCATATACTCCTTGATTTTCTAACTCAATTTTATCTTTGGGGTTTCTTAGGATGGTGGATATTTTTCTGTTTGTGCAGAATGCTGTTTTGATGATGAGGTGATATACTGTATATATGTATGCTCAAAAAGGATGGAAACTATGCCAACATTGTACAATAGTCATCAAAATTGCCTGTCCTGATACCAGAGGAAATCATAAACATAAAATTTAATATTTTAAGCTGCCCAGAGTTGCCTTGTGGTAAGAGAGGCAGCTAATAAATTTTACAAATAATAAAATAAAGTAAAGGAAAACAAAATAAAATAAGTAGAAGAAATAAATGTCCACATGCACATATTTGCAAACCTGTAGGGTGCAATGAATATGTTAATAAAAGAATCCAAGAAATTCAAGGAAGCAAGGCCAGGTACATTGGTGAATGGAAAATACACATGTCAATGGTTAGTCTAGCTTGGGTAATGTGGGTTTTAGATTGGTTAAGCAATTTTGTTTTAAGAAAGATTTTTAAAGCTTTCTTTCTCTAGCACTTATGACAAAGATAAGATACCTACACCTGCGGTCCCTATGAGGCAGGACAGGCTGCAGAAGTAAAAATATAAAAAAATATGATTAATAATAACAACTCTGTGCCTAGACATGCAAGTAGGAAGATTAAGAATATTTCAGAGTTATAATAGACTGAAAACATTTTTTAAAAATCTACAATACAGGAGATACTGTCTGAATCTTCAAACAGGCAATGGAAATCCCTGAGCTTCTTACTTCAGCTTGTTCCCTTCTCTGTGGATATATCCCTAACAACCATAATGGCCCAAAATGTTTGAATACGGACTCCCGCTTCCCTCACACAGTATAGCATATGAACATCAGTGCTAGATTCACCTTCTGTTTCTTTTACATCAAGGACGATGTACTTGCAGACCATTTCATGATCATTGTGGAACGTCCGCATCAGAAACACAGCATCTGTGATGCTCACTTTTCCATAGAATTTCTCCCGTAGTCGGCGGACACTTTTTTCTAGCTGCATTGAAAATATGAAAGCAATTAAAAATGTAAAATTTTCAGAGATCTGTCATGTCTTCACTTAGGGCAGGCTTCCTCCACAGCACCAACCCAGACTTGCTGCTCAGTAGTTGGATTAATAGATATATTTATGCAATCATTTATTTAAAACAATATGATGGATGAGTATTAAGATAGGACCAAGTTTAATTCTTTCCTCTCTTGTGGTCTTGACCAAACCCTCCTTTTGACTACTATTCACACAAACAAGAGCTTTCCATCCAGACCCTCAGATAGTTGGGGGAGGGGGATTTCTTTATGAAGATTGTATCAGGAAAGGAAAGGGTTCACATACATACTGATGCACGTATGAATGCACACCCACACATACATACACTTCCCCCCCCCTAAAACATTTAGCATATCTAGCATAATTTTTTCTTTAGCCTTTACTGAGCAACTGTCTGGAATTTCACCAGTACTTTTTAAACTGTTTGCAAATATTCCCCAGAAAGCATATCCTTTCCAATGTCTGAATTTATAAGTCATGTTGGAGTTCCCATTCCCCAACAGCACAAAGTGGACCAGTAAGAAGACCAAGAAAGTTAGCAGGAAGGCTTATATATACATATATATGGATGCTTTTGTATCTTTGTAAGCTTAAATCATGGATTGTAGAGCACATCATTGTTTGCTGTGACAGTTTCACTGAGCAGGCAATGTGGACTTTGCAAAACTGGACAGTTCATCCTTCTTGGCAAACTTTCCATATGTATGATTAGAAACAAAAAAATCAAATCAAAGCTGATGCTCATGGACACACCATGTCAAATTTTTTACGGCAATTTGGAAGTAATTTGTTATCCCTTTCTTCAACTTTCCTGTGTAGCCTACAGCCCTGGAATTAACTGGTGCCCCCCAATTATGTACAAACTGGGTTCAATCCACCTTAGTTTCTGGATCAGCCTAGGTTGTTCCATACATACACATATGTATAATTTTTATTAAATATGTTTTTCCACAGAATAAAAATAATATAAATTTTTAAGATAAGAGAGCCAGAATAAAGTATGAGAAAAATGAGAAATAAATAAATTACAGAGTTGGAAGGATCCTTGGAGGTCTTCTAGTCTAAAACCTTGCTGAAGCAGGAAACTCTTTACCATTCTGGACAAATGGCTGTTCAGTCTCTCAAAAACCTCTAGTAATGGAGCATCCACAACTTCTGAAGGCAAACTGTTCTGCTGATCAATTGTTCTCGCTGACAGGATATTTCTCCTTACTTCTAGGTTAGATCTCACTTTGATAAGCTTCCATCTGTTATACCTTGTCCTGCCCTCAGGTGCTTTAGAGAACAGATCACTCCGTGTTCTCTGTGACAGTCCCTCAAATATTGGAAGACTATGACTATGTCACCCTTAGACCTTCTCTTCATTAGACTAGACATATCCAGTTTCCACAACTATTAATATATGTTTTATCAGCTCATACTTTAGTGGTTGTCTACTAGGACAGAGTTCTCCAACCTTTCCAGCTTTGCAGACAGGTGAGGTGGGGTGGGGGGGAGAGGAGATGGTTCCACACAAGAGGTGGGCAAGAATGAACAAGAGGCCTGGTTTCAAACACCTCAAGACCTGATAGTGGGCCATAGCCCGGGGAGCGGGGACCCCTGCATTAGGACACCTAGATCCCTCTCACAGTTAATGATGTTGAGCCAGACTAGATGGTCTACACCAGCGGTTCTCAACCTATGGGTCGCGACCCCATTTGGGGTCGATCGACCATTTTTCGGGGGTCGCCAAAGGCGGAAATCCGCCATTTTCTCCCCTCCGGGGGCAGCGCCACGCATGCGTGCCACGCATGGGGCGCACATGCGCACCACACATGGGGGTGCATGCGCGGCATGCATGGGCCCAACCCCATGCGTGCCGCGCATGCGCATGACGTTTGTGTGACGGGGTCGCCGTCACACAAATGTTGAGAACCGCTGGTCTACACAGTTACATTTGGTTTTTATTGCTTAAGTGTACGACCTTACTTTTCTCACCATTAAATTGCACTTTGTTGTATAGGCTCAGTGTTCAACTCTGTCAAGATCCTTCTGAATCTTGAGTCTAGGATTTAAGGTGTTGGTTATTCCGCCCAGCTTGGTGTCATCTGCAAATTTGTAAAGTTCTCATTTTATCCCCTCATTTAAATTGTTTACGGGCCTAAGACAGAACCTTGGGGTACCCCGCTGCATGCTTCCTTCCATGTAGATATAGTTCCATTGAGGACTATATATTGAGTACAGTTTGTCAGTCAACTACGAATCCATTTGGTGGTGATGCTGTCTATCCCACATTTTTCTATTTTATCAAGAAGTAGGCTATAGTCTATTTTGTCAAATGCCTTGATAAAGTCTAAGTAAACTATGCCTACAGCATTTTGTTGGTCCAATAATTTAGTCACTTTCTCAAAGAATGTAATTAAGTTTGTTTGGCATGATCTGTTTTTGACAAACCATGCTGGCTTCTAGTAATAGCTTGGCTTGTTTCTATGTGTTTGCAGATTTATTACTTGATTATTATTTTTCCAGGATCTCCCCAGGTATTGATGTCTAACTAATCTGCAGTTTCCTGGATCCATTTTTCCCTTTTTTGATGATGAGAACTACAACAGCTCTTTTCTAGTCCTCTGGTGCTCCACATCTCTAAAAGATATGATTCAGTGGTTCTGAGATCACATCTTCCAGCTCGTTTACATAATCTTGCGATATAATCCATCTGGTCTTGAAGATTTGAACTCATCTAGAGTGGATAGGTGTTGTTTTACCATTTTTTTGTCTATTTTGATTGTATTTCTAATCTGTTTTTTACATTACTGCTTTTGATAGGTTGAACTATTTTTCCCTCTTGTGTAAAGACAGCTGCAAAGAATGAATTAAGCAATTCTGCTTTCTCCCTGCTGCCTTCACATCCTTGTCATCTTCTTCTATTAAAGGACCGATCATTTTCTTTTTTTCTTGCTTTATACATGTTGAAAGAAACTTTTTATTATTATTGATTTATTATTATTATTATTATTATTATTATTATTGATATTTGTTGCAAGTTGTGGCTCATTCTGCACCTCAGCTTTCCTGACTAAATCTTTGTAGATTTGGGCTATTTGTTGATATTTTGCTTTAGTATCCCACTTTCCATTTTTTATATTTGTCCTTTTTGTATTTCAGTTTATCAGAGAGTTATTTATACAACCATGCTGGTTTCCTCTGAAATCACTTATTTTTCTTTCTCAGTAGTATTGTGTTGGGCTAGGTTTTTATAATCTCATTTTTCAGAGTTTCCCAAGCTTCTTGAGCTGTTTTTCTCTTTAAGATTTCCAACCACAGGATCCGTCCCAATCTCTAAGTTTGTTGAAATCAGTTCTCTTAATGTCTAGGACACTAGTTTGCCTTTGTTCTATTGCTTGTGCCTGCATTATGTTGAATTCCAATATGACATGGTCATTCTCTCCCAAATTCCTGAAATTTCAACTCCTTCTATCATTTCATGTCTGTTAGTAAGTCCAGTATAAATATACTAGTTCCTTCCTCTACATTTTGGGTGAAAAGTTGTCTAACTGGATTTGTCAGGAATCTGTTTGATCTCCCACTTGGCGAAGAGTTTGTCTCCCAGTTGATGTCAGGGTAGTTAAAGTCCCCCTTACTATTGTAGTGTGCTTCCTGCACACCTGATTAGAAAAAGCTCATCTGTTTAGTTGGATGGTGTGTAGTTATATACCTATGGCAATGTCATTCCTTTTTTCCTTTTATGCATCCAAGGTTTTCTTCTTCTTTTTTTTTTTTGGCATTTCTATAGAGGTGTAGTCATTTCTTACATACAATGCAACTCCACCTCCTCTTTTGTTCGGTCTGTTTCTTTTGAATAGTTTAAATCCTTCTAGCAGTACATTCCAGGCATGGGTTTCATCCCACCAAGTTTTGGTAATGGCAACAATGTCATGCTTGCTCTCATGTACTAGGACTTCAAGTTCACCCTGTTTGTTCCTCATTCATTGAGTATTAGTGTATAGGCATCTGAGGCCTTTTTGATTAACCCTGCATTTGCTTCCTTCATCTCCTGTTTTATATCTGAGTTCCCCCTCTTTCTTACCAATTGGTTGATTGCCCTGAGGTTTATCCTTGGGATTAGCTCCTGAAAATTTGTCTCCCTCCCCCTCCCCCTTTAGTTTAAAGCCCTTCATATAAGGTAAGCCAGTTGATTTGCAAAAACATTCTTCCTGGTTCTTGTGAGGTGAGCCCATGTCAGACACCTCCATGCAGGTATGAGAAAAAGAGATAAGAAAGAAAAAGGAGAAAAAAGAAAGAATACTAACAAAGTGGTTTCCAACCTTCTTAACTGTTATTGTTTATAGTTAACCTCCCCTTCTCTAATGTTCCATCAAAGTTTCCTACTTACCATAATCTACCCTTATTATTCATCATATCCATAAAACTGCTGTTCATTTTTTCTTTTTCTTTTTTTTTTTTAGCAAAAAGTCCATAAGGGGTTTTCAATCATTAAGTTAAACTAGTTAATTTTGCCATTTCTGCTAATTCCATCATTTTTACTGACCATTTAGTAACTATTCTCTTCCAAACCAATATGTCTTCCTCCCTACGCAAATCTCTAAGCAATCCATAAAACATCAACTTTTCAATCCTGGTGTCAGCAAAAAGTCTTAAACGGGTTGCCAGAACTTTGCCCCCCACCCAAAAAAAGTAATAATCTCATTTTAAACTAGAACAAATAATCCATTTTCATATTCCTTCCTTTTATTTCTAACAAACTTAATATTTAATTCACTGAAGTATTGTTATAAAAGTTGATGTATCTTCAATTCTTCTTCAGCCCATTGCACCGACTTCTTCCTTTATCTGAACTCTTAATCAATAAAGAACATTTTAGATCAAAATCTTATTTAGCTCTTTGCTGTTTTTTTCAATTTTTTTGAGTTCTTAAACTTATAATTAATTTTTCTTTTGTTCAGACTTGA